CTCAGCACACAGGCAGGATTAGTGAAGAAAGGGGCAGCTAAGCAGTCACAGCACCTAAGCTGGTGTTTTCCTTCAGGACACTTCTGCTTATGAACACATGTGGAACTCTGGCACCAGGTGGGGAAGAGAGTGGCCGTCCTGGAGCTATGAGGACCTCCCCAGTGCTGCTAACCAAACCTCATCTCTCAGACTGGGTGTAGGGGCTCCGGCTCTGCACTCCAGCAATGGGAAAGATCCGGGTGGAGACCAGAACCCAAGCCAGCGTCCTCCCTCTCTCAATTCGACCGAAACAGTTTCCCTACAACGTCCCAAAGCTGTACCAGGAAAGACATCATCAGTGAACACTAACCCTCTATTAGCTGGGTTAGTTTTCTGCATTCCAGATTTTAAGAGCAAGCCCCAAAGAAAGGCAAGCTTCTGTGTGAGGATTCACTGTCTCTTTCCATTTGTTTCACAACAGTGGGAAGCAGCTTACGGAAGCCCACAGGCATTCCTTCCAGTTTCCTCTCTCTTACATCCGGGACCCAGAATGAATGCTGTCATGCTCCAAGTCCTACTCCTGGGATCCAGACTTCAGCCTCACTTTGTGCTTTGCTAACACTAACGTTTTTGGTTTGTTTTTATTTGTAAAGGGTTCATCACATCTTATGCATGTGTGTGCCACACTAAGGTAAGAGGACAACTTGCAGGAGTCAGCTCTCCCTTCCCGCCATACGGATCCCAGGGACTGAACCCAGGTCATTAGGCCTAGCAGAAAGTACCCTTACTTGACGAGCCATCTCAGCAGCCCCTATTTTTTTTTTTTTCTTGATTAGATTTTGTTTTGTGTGAGTGTGTGGATGTTTGTGCAATGGCTCATGTGTGGAGATCAGAGGACGACTTGTGGGAGTTGGGTCTCTCCTTCCACCACTGTGTGGGTCCTGGAAATCAAATTCAAGTAATCAGGCTGGGGGGGGGGGCAAGCCCCTTTTTACTCAGTGAGTAATCTTACTGCTCCTTTTGTTTTGCTTTGAGATATGGTTTCCTGTGTCTGTGGCTAGTCTTAAACTTGATAATGATAATCTTGAACTCCTGTCTCCACCTTCTGAGTACTGGGATTATTGGGATGCCACACCTTCTTTATGAGTTTCGGAACTTATGTAGGCTATTCGAGGACAAAACAACAACAACAAAAACCACTCTGCAAAGGGGCTGTAGCCGGTGGCTGGGCCCTTGCCTAGCCCTCGCTTCGTCCTTGCCTGACCCCTGCCTACCCCTAGCTGCATCTTTCCAGCCCCTGCTCAGCACACACAGCATCCTCAGCACAGCAGAGAAAACAAGAGATACTAGAATCAGCGGAAGGTAGAAACACCTCTTCTTTCAGTATACCCACGGGATTTCACACATTTTTCACTGGATGAAGAGTCTCCTTTTCCCTGTGAAGAGGGGCTTCTAACCACACACTGGGTGGGAGCCTCTGGGTCCTTTCTGCCAACATTCTCCTGGACCTTGGCCAAAATTGTGCCAGAGACAATAAGTACTTGATTCTTGGGATAGTCCATGGGCACATTCTCCCAAGTCACAGAGCAGCCTGTTCCTCACCATCAGTTTACTCATGAGCATTGTCTCCCAGTGTGAGATTCATTCATGTTTAGGTCTTGATCTATTTGTAAAGAAAACTACATCTTTTAGAAGAGGCGAAAGCTTTGGGTTGGTTCGGTTAGTAGAGTGTTTTCCTAGCATGCACAGAGTCTGAGGCCAGCCCGGGCACACGAGGCCCCAAATAGGAACAAATGAAAAGACAAGTAGGCAAATTCTAAATAAGCCTCATGCCCATGAAGGTACCAAGCAGGTTCCATCTAACAAGGTTCACCTTGCTACTACACTGACTCTTTTAATTCCTCCCTGGTTGAGCCCAGGTTGCTAGGAGGAAGACAGATGTCAAAAAGAAGTTTCTCCAACTGATGCTCATTCATTGAGCTTTGCCCACTGTCACAAGTGCCCTGATACCCAGACACTCCCATCGTCATAGGATAGCACTGGCAAGGTTCCTTCCTTGTAGCCAGCACCTCAGGGATCCTTCAACAAACTCAGTGTTTGCTGAGTGGGCTTAAATGCCAACTACTTCATTTCAAGCAGGAGGAGAGGAGGGGAGAGGAAAAGGGGGAAGGGTTCCGAGCTACTGCTGCCTTTGGAGGGGACAGGGGCTGGGGGAGGAAAGCAGGCCACAGTTGCTGCCTTCACAATACTCATGGCCAGTGGCAGAAGGGACATCAGCATCATCAGCTTGTCCCAGTGCCTCTGGCTGAATGATGGGGGCATAGAGACAGGAAGACACTCCCTCTCCATCCTTAGACACACAGATAGGTCTTCCTTAAATATTCTTTGATGTGGCTTATACAACGTTGAAAGGACTGCTTACAGGAAGGAAATGGGACTTATGAACAAAATCCTAGCACAAGCTCAGACCAGAGGGCTAAGGAAGCCTTAAAGAGATAGCCTCAGTATGACCATCAGGGGTCCTTGACCATGGATCCACCAGACTGAACATCCCAAACTCGGTTTCTTCAGCTGGCCTTTTGACCTTGGGCAGGCGCACTCCCTCTGCAGTTCTACAGATGAGGGTGTTTATCAGCAATAAACCCTTCTGTTGTCGAAATTTTGTTTCACCTAGAACGCCAATATATAAATTCAGAGGAAGCCATTCATACTGAATCAGGGCAGCAAAGCACAAAGCCCGCTGGGAATCTAGCTGGAAAACTGCAGGGGTGGACCCCTTCTAGAGTGCTACATCCTCTGCAGTAGGCCCTGAGGACAGGAGGAAATCACCATTGATTTCGTGTTCTCCGTGGTGCTTGGGAATCCACATGTCACGTGGGAGGGAAGCCTCTGCAACAGCAACCAGCAGTTAATTGCTCAGGAACTGAGATCTTTTGTAATCAGGCCTATAAACTGGGATCTGCTGGCAAGAGGTAAAATTAGATTTGAACCATGGATTTTTTTTTTTAAATTTCAAACACAATATCCCAGCCCCCACTCCCCCAACCCTGTCTGCACACCTTGAAATATCCCTTTACCTAGAACATTGGGCTGAATTGATCATTTCCTTGCATCATAAATACATGTGCAAACACACACATAACAATAAGTTATATTCTTAAATGCTATAATTCTCCTAGATTATCACGAGATTTCTTTTTGTGGCAGAGATGTAGCTGGATTTCAGTTTATTTATACCAGCTCATATTCTATTATGGGTACTGTTAATGAGAAGCAGGAATTGTTGATTAAAATTAGTGTTAATAATTCATGTTGGGTTTAATTCGTGGAATTAGGGACAGGGTTGGAAGTATCTTTGCCCTCTTCTGGTTGCCCTAAATCCCACCAATCTCCAGTGCCAGGGGGTAGGCCTGAGGGGCATTTCTCAGGGTCATTTAAGTCATCGGAAGTCTCAGCTCTCCAGGGCGTGGTTGTTTCAGACGGTAGCATCAGGCTGTTGTAACCCCCTTCCACCACTCCACATCTTTTCTACATGACCCCCAGTTGCCTCCTCTGTGGGGATGCTAAGGAACCCAGAATGGGTGCCTGACCCTGGTTGAAAACCTACATAGAAAGACTACCAGGCAAGCAAATACACTTCAGTGCTCCACCCAATGTCCTCCAGGGGCCACTAGCAAACCCAAAGATCACAGAACCACTCCAGGAAAGAAAATGCCACCGAAGGCAAGACAGGCATGAGGTGTGGCAAGGCGTGCCAGTGGCTTCCCTGTATTCGTGATGCCAGCAATGCCACAGTGATCAAAATATTCTACATGCCACCTGAAGGTACAGAGCAAACCCTCGGCAGTTGGCAGCAGCTGCTGGAGAGACCTTTGTGGAGTGACCTGATGGGCTTTGGGAGGGAAGGGCAGAATGGTGGCTGGGAAACAATAGCCAGGACGTTAAAGATGACTCTCCTCGACTGCTTTGACCATCCATCAAGAAGAGAAGAGAGACGTGCCAGGACATGGATGGGGCACTGCGCTGTCAAACGAGTTAACAGCCTCTTTCTTAGACAAAGAGAATTCTGGGCACGTGTTCCTCACCCAGGCCTCCCAGACCCATTTCAGTCCTAGGTCCCCGGAGCAGGTGCTCAGTCAATCGTCCTGATCCAGGTAGGAAAGGTGGGAGAAGGAGAGAACCTCGAGAAGAAAAGAAAAGTCCTCATCACGCCTCTCCAAGGATTTCACTGCCGGCCTCACCCCAGACGACTTCGCTCCCCTGCGCCGGCTGGGCTGGGAGGTGTCACTGCCACCGCCCTTGGTGGGGGGTGCTGTCTGTCAACTTGGAAATTTTCCTTGCCTTCCTAGAGATACCTGCCGCTGTCTCTCTGACCGCTGCAAAGGAGAGCAGACAAGAAGGACGAAGATACCTACTCCCGGATGCATACCAATCTATTTGCCACCAGCCTTTGCCTCTATTTGAGAAACCCAGAAAGGAGTATTTTCCCCACTCCATTGAATGCCCTACCTCCATCTGGCTACTCTTCTGCGCGATGACCCCTCCAGGCAGAGCCCCTTGCTCGCTCGCTCGCTCGCTCGTCTGGACTGTATGTCATTTTCACCTGACAAAGCACAGCGGCAGGCGAGCCCAAGGCATTTCTCCCAAAGGAGAGAGATGCGCCGGGCACCCACTCGGGGTTTCTGCAAATCCGCCCCACCCGCGATGGAACAAAGCAAGAGACAAGGCGAGACGCATCCCCGGTCCCGGCGACTCCACCAGCTTGCGGGAACCCACGCCCGGGTCCCCCGGCAAGGTGCCGCCTGCGCCCACGGCCACCCATGGGTCAGTAGCGCCGCGCGTCCTACGTCGCCTCGCGCTCCCCGCGTCCCCAAACAGCTACTGTACCTGCTAAATTTAGAGACCGCCGGGTATTAATAGCCCTGGCGACCCGGGGCTGGTGGCTCGCAGGGGCGCGAGGCCCTAAAGGGACCCGGGGATCCGGAGGGAAGGGGAGAAGGGACGCCCAAGAGGCCACTTACACCACCAGCCTGGAGATGATCCACGACACCATGGCGGGCGGGCGGCCCCAGCCGGCCGCCAGCCCCGGGTCGCCAGGGCTATTAATACCCGGCGGTCTC